CTGTCAGTGAAGTTCATTCTGAAACGTGTCCGATAAATGTAACTCAGTCAATACTTGTCACAGTCAATACTTGTCTCTTTATGATGCTGAAATTCTCTTCTCTAAAGAGGGGGTTGATTGCAATTTCACTTTTTTCATTTTAAATAGTGTGTAATGTTGCTGTTGGTGCATGAACAGTATCTGCAAAGTTGCACCGCTGAAAGTTCAATGTATGCAGGGATATCGTCTTTTAAAAATCGGGAAGTTTAATGCCTACAAAAACTACAGCCGGGTTTTAGACGTCACTAACCCACACATTTGCATCAACCCTCCCTCTGGAATATGCAGGAAGGGCATGGCCATATTTCTGCGGCTCGTCGAGTGTGTTGTGTTCACCCAGCTGTCAGGTCTTCTGTGTTCGAGCTTCCCACGGACGCATTTCGTCAACAATGGATACAATTTATGTTTGATTATGTTGCTGAAAATGACGATCGTAATTTAGCTCTCTGTGCTGCGCATTTACGGAAGACATCTTCCAGAATCTCCACGAGTTCAACACCGGATTCAACAAGAAACATGAAGCAGTTCCGACTTTAAAACCAGAGGTAGCCGTTGTTGGGCCACAACCTGTAAGTAGGCTAAGACTTCATCATTTTAAATGTATTTGCATGTATAATTTCAGACGTAGCCTTGTGCTTTAGTTTTGTCAAATGCCAGCGCTGGCTTTATAGCCATTAGATTACTATGCTATTTTGTGTCTACGACAAACGCGTACAAACATTATGGACCTGAATTTTGTACTAATGTTGTAAATGTATTTTTCATGTATATATATACTTTATGACATTATTTTCGATTTGATCAAGAACGTAAACCAATACCAACGCTGTTTGTGTAAAACGTTAGTAGCCAGTCAGTTCAATGCTATTGTGTAAAACAAACGTGTATAAAGTTAAAAAATATATAGGCAAATTACCATTCAGAAACGTTTTTATAAGAGCCGTGTGTTCTGCTTGACTCTCTTCGTTGCTGCTTTCTGGGTCTGATTTTGGCTCCTAATACTGCAGTATCAACACCATTATTTACATTGGACCAGATTACATGCACGTTTCACCCGTAAAGGTAATGGGGGCGTGAACTTTCCGGACAACGTGAGCTACAGTTTAGCCAATCACAACACACCGGGCCAAACTAACCAATCTGAGCCCAATGCCTGTTTCTGAGGGAGTGGTTTCATAGACTCGGGAAGTCAACCAGTCGTTGAAATGATAGAGGAGAAATACATAAACACATTAATCATGCAAAGAAAAAAAAACAGTAAACCACCCCTTTAAATAATGTAATTTATATAAAAAAACAACTATTCTCAGTTGATGTAATCTGTATGAAAAGAGAGAGAGATGTCAGTCTTTTTCCTTTCACCTAATTATAGCATAATGTGACCATGCCCACTGTTGTTGTGGTATACCGGGTTGCTCTGCATCAGGGTGTAGACAGCCATACCTCAACTTTCACGCTTTCCCACTTGAGTTTTCATTTACCATCCAAACCACATGGTCATATGTGACTTCAGGCAGATTGCGGAGAGATTTGGGCCATTGTAAAAAGCTAACCGGAAGAGCCGTATCCCTACTAAAAGACGTACTTCTGGTCTTCAATTTTTTCGTGACATAGGCCTATTTCGGGTTCTAATTAGGAGACGACAAGCACATGAAGCTCCGTGCTTATCAAGCAGTGAAGACACCCGTTCCCACAACCAAAACGAGGACCGACGGGACGTTGTCCTGCTCCTCTTCACAGACGATGAGTGGAAGGAGAATTTTGGAGTGACACGACAGTAATAACAGCTCATTCCACGCGTCATATTTTCTAGTATATTTCTAGTTTGTCATATATTTCTAGTTTCGGTGTTCAATCTCAATCTCAAATGTTTACATGCCCCCTCGATTGGATTAGAAAGGTTTAATCACCCCTTACAATCAGGATTTGGCCAATTTAACTGACAGGGTTACATGTGACTTCTTTTATTCCAACTGTGGTTCTGGTCCGATTACAATTGTAACGTAAACGCACTGTCAATCAGAGTAACATTTCTATCATGAAACATGATAGAATAACTGACCCTATATGTTTTTGTTTTTTTTTATTTGTTTTACTTAACTGCCCTATACTTCTGTAAAACATCCACGTCAAAGAATTACCACACTGTGGCTACAGCCTTACCTGTAGAGAGAGAGAGAGATGGTGGCACTCTATGTCACATGTTAGGAGAATACAATCGGTTAAGTTTCACAATATGTTTGATCATTTCTTTTGCTACACACACACACACACACAGGTGAGAGTAAATACGTCAAGTGGGAGTGGTGTGTGTGTGTGTAACTGGAAGAGCAGCGAGATCGTCAGATCATCACACACAAACACACCTCACTGACGCTTTACCGCCGAGGTGAGTGGCTTTACATTACTCTCATCATACCTGACAACACATTTGCCAAGGCTTTAAAATGACTGCAGTGTTTTATTTTAGCCCGCAATGATCCAGCCTTTGAAAATTAATATGAAACATTACTCTAATGGTCATGTACTGCAACTACACAACTTACTATTACTACAATTTCCAACAACTATGATGAGTGATTAACTAACCATGTGTGAAATAGTTTGAGCATCTCATAAGAGCGTAGATAAGGGGAAACATTGCGAATATTTCCCTCCGTGCACTTTTTATCTGTTTTCATGAATGTGTACTTTTTTTTAGTACAGCAAAATAAAAATTACTCTGTATGTCCTACTAACAACTAAAAGGGTCAGTTAAATGATGTTTATATGTTTCTGCTGTTGCCTGGAAATGGCATTACAGTTGACAGACTGCCGGTGTTTTTGCTCTCATCAAATGACTGTTAAGAAATGTCCATTGTGTTTCTCCGTGTCATCTTGGTATACACTATAGATGAAACTTATTATATGCAATATGTCAATGGCTGTAGGGATCCTGAATATAGTCCTGTACATATGTATTCTAATGTGCTTCATCTGGCAAAATCTAACATCTTTTACTTAAAATAGGATTGAATTTGACTGAATCGATCTGAGGAGAAAATCATGGACAATATTTTCACTTTATACAGTGAGACATACACTAGCTAAAGCATTGTTTTTATGCAATTAATAATTTATCATACTAGCCACATGCAAACATAGTTTGTTTTGTCCAAGACAGGCACTTAGTCGCCAGCAATACAGCTGAGGAACAATAAACCACTGATTATCGAATATGGTTACACTGATTTAAATAATAAATGTGACAGATCTCATTCTCGCGATTCAGTTGGAACGCAAGTGTGTATCAGTCATGTTTATCTTGTTTGAAGTGATGGAATTGCTATCAATAGTATCCGATTACAGTCGCAAAAATAAATCGCCACATCCTTGAATGCCGCGGAGCCATGAATTCCTGTGCTGTAATTTGATAGGCTCTTTAAAGACACACACTAGCACTCCTAACCAGTATTTTCACGCATGATTTGATCTGTTGTTGTGTGTCCATTGTGCGCCTCACCCTGTCGTCTTCCCCCTCAGCTCATAGCGAGGCGGTGTGGCCCTTCACATGGAAATGAAGAAGATGAGAGAGAACATGGGCTGGTTGTACTACCAGTACCTGCTCATGACAGGCATCTATGTGCTGGAGCCGTGGGAAAAGTCTGTCTTCAACACAGTCCTCTGTACTTTGATGGCCATGGTCATCTACACCACCTATGTGTTTGTGCCTGTTCACGTGTGTCTGGGGCTGGAGTTCTTCTCTGCGCTGGTCCGAGGACAGCCGGAGAGCACAGTGGCCCTCATGAACTGAAGATGAAGGAAAGACATTTTTTATTGACCTACGGGTCACTCTTGTATATTTTTCTACTCGGGAACAGACAGATGTAGCCATGTTCAAGTCTTCTTGAACTCTGCATGCAAAAGTTTTGGTGATTGCCAATACTGAAGATTTGCATGATATCATCACAGACACTTTGGCCTGTTGCTACTGTATGATTAACGTCCTCTTCATCACTGGTTGATAATAAGCAAATCATTATTTAGACTCTATATTAGGAGTCCCTGATCGGACTGAGATATAATGATTATTTGCTCCAGTGCAAATGAAAACATATAATTAGAACAAAATCCCCAAAAACATTTATTATTGCATATTTTATATTTGAAAGTTTTGTAATCACCTGTGCAATGTGACTGGTCTAAATGAATGTATATGCAGGTTTATTTTTAAATGCACTTGATCACAAATCAGTGGAGGCCATGTTAATCGGACCTTTGTTCTGGTGGTGGTGGGATCTTCTTCCATCATTCAGCAGGCTCTGTTTCTGATGCGCAAATGCTTGATATGCATATAAATATCTGGAATTACTGGCATTCATGAATTTATAGGCACTTGAACATTTGTTGATTAAATACTTTTGGTTAATGGGTTACAGTTTATGTTAGGTGTCTAAAACTACTATGTACTGTTATGTAGGTACAATATGCTTATTGTGTTGTTGCATTGCAAAACACTTGTGATACTATTAAGGTGTGATATGGTTAGGACGGGTTTGGTGCTATGGGTAGGTTTAGATGTAAGGGAAGAGCAATAAGTGCATTGTATCAAATTAATAATACAAATTTAAAAGACCTTACTATAAAATGGGAACTGTTTTCAATAACACACGGATGTCATCCCACAGATTTACTCTCAAAACTAGAACAGAAAAATCTTATTCTGAAATAATTTATTTTACTTAATTTATGTTTTATTTTGATAGTTACTCAAGTCACGTTTCTGTATTATTATTAATGATGTTTTATTAACAAAGTTTGGTAGGAGCATGTTTAGATAAATAACACGAATGGAGAGCACTCAGCAATCAATGATAAGAGGTATATATAGATATATAGACTCAATCAATTGACAGTTTAGCAGCATCTCTCCGCCACCCCATATCCACTCTTCCAGTGCTAACCATTTACATACGTGGGAGTACTCTGGGTTCGGGCCGAGCTCTGAGCGCTTACCTCGGACAGCACGCCAAATACGTGCCGGTTCTTTACTCGTGAAACCTTATGTGTCAATATCATGTCATAACATGTCTCTTGGAATAATGACACAAATAAGTGTTGAGTGACACTTGACTTTTTATATCAGAATGTATTTTTCAGAAATAAAAAAAATTCACAAAATATCTGTCCCATTTTTTGTAACACTTTTAGGCTGTAAAACTTACATGGCCTCAAAGGATATTTTGAAAATGATGCAAGACTTTTAAGCTGATAACCCTTCCTTTTACAGTCCCCTAATTACTAGGTATTTACCTGGTAAATATATGGTAACCCTTACGAAAAAGAAGTATATTTCAAGTTCATTTTATGTAGTATACTTAAGTAATGTTCAAGTATATTTTAAGTATACATTAGGTAGTAAGTATACTAATGTCACTATGTACTAGTAGTAAACTTGAAAGTGTACTATTTTACTACCGCTTGGGACTAAATTGGCCCACTTTTAGTACATAAAAGTATACGTTTAAGTGTACTATAAGTGTAACAGTAAGTGCACAACTAGTTCATAATTATGTATCTCATGTGTACTGCAAGTGAATTTATGGGTATACTAGTAGTTTACTTTTTTACTGTAATACTTATACAAGTATACTTTGAATAGTTAATTATACTTTTAAGTATTTCTTTATCAAAAGATTGTAAAGAAGTATACTAATGGCACACTTAAGTTATAGTTGGTTATTGGTAATTACCACAGGTATCAAGTATGTAAATGCAGAGAAACTACAAACTAATAATTAAGTATTTACCTGGTAAGCATATGGTAAATTATAGTATTTTAGTGTGTAATTACTTATAATTCAAGGTGATTACTATTAGTATGGAATTACAGAAAAACTACCAGGAAACACCACTGTTAAAGGCACACTATGCAAGAATATTACCTTAATATAACAGCTTCAAAGTAATTTCAGTGGTAAACAAACTCATAATAGGGTGAATCATCCTGGTAGTAAAGCTTGGGAAAACCAGCAATGCAAGTTTGAGAGGAGCGCCCCTGACAAATCTCGCGAGAATCACGACATGCTTTACGGCAACGACGTCACACACATCAACCACAATATTTCAGTAAGTAAAGTGCAACTGTACTATAAAATTAAACATTGTTTATTTCCATGGTATTGCCGGAATCGTACCATATAATCTGTAAAAGATCATTCCCTTTTCTTCCATATAGTCATAATTTATACCTCCGTATGTCCTGCAACGTTACCAAGGAGAATAGGACAATTTACTCAGTAAGTAAAGTGCAACTGTACTGCGGAAGGAAGCCTTGTTTATATCCATTGTATAACCAGACTCTTACCACATCCTTTGCTACAGTTTAAACATTTTAGAAATCACAAACTTTTACTATGTGTGTTCTGCAACTTAACTAAAACATTCTCAGTAAGTAAAGTGAAACTGTGTTTATTTTTATTTCCATGGAATTACTGGGATCTTACCCTATAATCTGTAATAACTACAGTTACTATGTAAATCAACAGCATTTACTCAGTAAGTAAGCTGAAAATATACTGTAAAAGAAAGCTATCTTTTACATAGTATCACAAAGAATTTGAATAAAGAAATGTTTACAAACTTAAATCAACAACCCTTAACAGAAATAGTAGAAACTGGTTTTCAAAAAAAACTATTGAAACTATTTGTTCAGTGGTTGGAAGGAGAGGAGGTGGAAGTAAGTAACTCATGTTATTGTTTCTTTGAGTTGGAAAAACAATCATATTATGGTTGTGTAGTGCTAATACAGTCAATTATGTATTACTGTAGCTCTAAAAAAGTCTTAAATTAAAGCTACACTGTGTAACATTTTACACTCAGTGACACTCATGGACGAAGTGGAACTGGAAGCTGTTAATCTGGGAATAATACGGTCACCGTAGGAGTTAAAACGAAGACGGAATTGAGAGGAACAGAAATTAATATTCACTGGATGGTCATATACCTTTTCACCGCTAGATGGGGGAAAATATCACACAGTGTAGCTTTAAAAGATATTAATGGACCTTTATGATTTAGAAGTCACAGCTTACCTTTATACATTACTTTATACAAGCTCTGTTATTTGAAGATTACTGAAATAATTCACTGTCTGAAATATAGGAAATCCATTTAAATGCCCCAAATCCTGAACCCAACATGGTTGAATGGCCCGAGGAGGACCTCATTGAGCAAGTAGACTCATCAGTAAACACTAGTGATGGGAAGTCTGGTTCTTTTCCGCGAACCGGTTCTTTCGGACAGTTCGTTTTAATGAACCGGTTCAAAAAAACGTTTGTTTGGAGATGGAGCAGAGGGGGCTTTGCTTCATCCGCAACACTCAGAAGTACATGGACCATGGAATGCCATGGGCGAAAGAAGTGTTGCAGAGAAGTCCCTAAAAGGCAAGGAGCTCGTCAAAGTGATGACCTTTGTCAGCTCAATTGCCTTTATTCAAAATGGGGACTTTATCAGTTTTGAGAAACTGAGGGGTTTGCTGGAGGAGCTTCCTGTGACCCAGGCCCGTTTGCGAAGTCAATTCAAGTCAAGTCACATTTATTTATATAGCGCTTTTCACAATACAGATTGTATCAAAGCAGCTTCACAGTGATAACATGAAAGTAGCACAACACAGATCAACAACATTGCTAAACACTAAATAACCCCAACTGAGCAAGCTCAAAGCAAGCCAAAAGCAAGGCGACAGTGGCAAGGAACCAAACTCCATCAGATTGGATGGAGAAGAAGTCTGCAGGTTCTGTCACGCTTTCTACTGCCAAGAGTCTATGGATTGAAGCTGTGGGCCCTACATGAGTCAATACCACACAAGTTACGGATCACAGCTGCTTCTGACCCAGCCAAGATTTCTGTGGCAGTAGCATGGAATTGGCACTGATTGATGTAAATGTGGAAGTGTCTCACAAAGAGGCATATGAGAAGTACATGACTAAGTGCCAGTCCATGTCTGTACCTATGCGAAGTTATAATGCGTTCTGCAGGAAACGCAATTCCATGTTGTAAATACCACAGTGTGTGTGTGTGTGTGTGTGTGTGTGTATGGAGCGTCTCTGAGCACAGTGTGTGTGGGGAGTGTGTTACTGGGTTACTTCTATAGGTTTAGTGGTAGTTGGGGTAGTTGTGTATTAATTTGTAGTTAGGTCTGGGGTTAGTGTGTGGTGTTCGTGTTGGTGGTGGGTATGTTATTTTTTTATGTAGGTGAGTCTTACACAGTGTTATTTGTTTTATAAAAAAAAAATGTAGAAAAAAAAAACAAAAAAAAAATAACAGTAACCCAGCCTCTGACATTACACAAACCAGTGTGATGTCAGTGCCGGTCCCAAGCCCGGATAAATTGGGAGGGCTGTTATACAGTTATACAGTTCACAAGCATGCACTACATCTCACTTATAACCACCTCATAAGTATGACCTCTTAGTACTCTAATTTTTTTACCATAGACTAGTTATTTTACATCATCACGTAATGACGTCAATTCTATCATCCCGGCGGATAAAAATACTTCAAATTAAAGGCATTTGTAATCATAACTTCAGTTAAATAGTAGTACACATCGTCATAATCATCTTGGATAAGTTTCTTACATTTACATTTTGAAAACAAACCCTGCTGCAGCCTAGGCGATGTGCTAACGCGGATGTTTTACATGTTTTAAATATATAAAATGCATAAATGGTCTTCATCATTTTATTTATTATTACATAAACTTACATTTCGCCGATTCGCCCTCTCATTTAAGTCCTGGGTTCTACTGCGTACTCATGTATCAGCACAGGATCAGCCGGCCGGAAGAAAGTTCTGTTCAGAGACGGTGCTATCACGCATGCGCAGTATCTCCAGCTCATCGGTTCTCCGTATCGAACGTGTCCGAAAGAAACAGTTCTCGGTTCTGTACTGGTGATTCAAGAACTGCAACAACCAGTTCTCGACACGAGAACCATAGCATAGGCCTGTGTGTGCTGAGCTGAAACCTGAATATGCAGTCGACAAAACTAAAAAAATCGATGCATGTCTGTCTCCAATAGCCTTCTGTAGCCTATATACAGTATACATCATGTTTATAATGTGTTAACATACGTATATGTTTAATTCGTTATGTTAACACATTATAAACATTTACTAAGCAGTGCACCATTAAAACCTTGGCAAGAGTTTACATCAAAGATTTGTATTGTTACTTAGAATAATAATAAATAATAAATGTTTAGTTTGAGAGTTTTAGAATCCAATCATTGTTTCCAATTGTTAAAATAATACAGTGATAATACAGTAATTATGTGATAAACATGTTTCCAAAATGTTTTATTTTGTTACTTACTCAACTAAAGACTTGGAAATGTACATTTTGTCCCTAAGAAAAAAAAAAATGCACGCATGCTCAGCTCATCAACTCATCAGTTCTCAGTATGTCGAACGTGTCCGAAAGAAACAGTCGGTTCTGTACTGGTTATCCGACCGCTGTACCTGTACGTTCGGTAGCACACGCATGCGCATTATCAGTTGCTCGTGCTCATCACTTCTCTCAGCACCAACATATGTCTTTTTGAGTTACTGGAATAAAATGTACTCCTGGATATTGGTTTATTTCGATTCGGAGGGACTGTCAGGCATGTCTGAAAGTGAGTAACTTTAGTAACTTGTGGTTTAGCGCTGACGCAA